CAGATTGGAAACCTATTGGAGTCACATCTGAGTAACGAGGGGTAAGAGGGAGAACTCTCAGGCACTTTTTATCTGAAGCCCATATGTTATCAAGATCATAGACATTGGAGGTCATCTGAAGTTTTACGTCATCATCAAAGGTTTGGTGACAAACTTCCAACAAACCTAATCTGGATATCTTGGGAAAACTGTCTCATCCAATGTCATCTGATTCAGTTCTGTGAAATCTTTACTTTCAGGTCACCAGTTGATGTGCTGTCCAATCAGGATTTGATGCTTTCTTTACATATGTCATGTGAATCCAAGAGTCTGTCTATTCCTTGGAGTTTGGTGACACAAGGATTGGTTAGCAGTGCCTGAAAGAGACCTCTCCAACTAGGTTGAAGAGACCTCTTCTGGAGGTATCTTTTCCAAAAGATGAAGTCTCCAGGTTGCAAACTTTGATGCTTAAGATCTTTGTCTCTTGAGAGTGCACTATGAAATGATTGATGTACCAAAATACGGTTATTTTTAATAGAAGCAGTTAGGCCTTTGCAATATCAGAGTATCTCTCCTTTTATCAGTTTTGGATCAAAAGAATCAGGAGCCAAGTGCATTGGGCATCCTGTGACTCTCTCAAAGGGTGAGAGCTTATGAGTTCCAAAAAAGGGTAGATCTGAAATGTAGAAGGACCAACAGCAATGATATTGGCCGAGGTATTTGGAGGGCCTGTACAAATTTTGCAAATTGAATCTCAATAATGCTGTTAGTTTGTTTGACTAAACCAGAGCATTGAGGGTGATAAGCAAAGTGAATATGTTGTAAAACCAGCATAGTTGTTGAAGTATCTGTCCAGTAAAATGGGTTTCTTGGTCATTATTAAGTTTGAGAGGAGTTTCCTAGGTAGGGAATTATCTTTTCCAGAAGGACTTTGGCCAGAGAAAAGGCCTTTCTGCAAGGGGAGGCTTCAGTCTAGTGTGAAGATATACAGATCATGACTAAAACGTATTTCTACCCATTAGACAGAGGAAGTTGTATGAAATATATTGACCAGACCTCAAATGATCCATTAGGCGGTTTAAATTGTTTAGTAACAGTTCAAACAGGCTTCCTTGCGTTGCACTTTGGGCAAGTGGAACAAGTGAGGTAGGCACTCTTTGCAACCTTGTTACTCTTTCCCACCAATATTGATTCATGAATGCCATCATTTTGTCAGTGGACCAACAGTGGTGAGGAATGGGCATTTTAGAGTCTCCAGGAGGACTGGTGTTACTGAACCAAACTTGGGTCTGCTTGCCCATGCACAGTAAACTCGATATACTGACACCTGGCTGTGGTGAAGAGAATTGAAGCATTTATTGCAAGGCCAAGCAAGGAGTATGGGCAGCTAATGCTCAAAAGACCAGAACTCCCCAATGGATTTAAGGGAAGGGTTTTTAAAGACAGGGTGAGTGAGAGTGTTGCAGGGTGCCTGATCAGCTTGTGGACTTTCTTCTGATTGGTTGGTGGTGAGGTAATTGGAAGTCAACATCATCAACCTTATGGTACCAACTGTTCTGGGTCTGCGTGCTTGTGGTCAGCATGCAGTTAACTTCTTCTACCTGGTCGTGGTTTCAGTATCTGCAAAACAGCTCAAGATATGGCTCAGATATTATATATAGCCTTTGAGAGGAACAAAAGTCCTTGACTTTGTTGCATGGCTAAACTATTATTGTCTTGTCTTGCTTGACTGTTTCCCTTCGTTTCTGTATTTTCTCAGTTCTCTGATTAAATTTACTCTTTGGAACTTGGGCAAGGCCTAGGAGGCTAAAGTTTTTCTACAAACAAGTGACAGGGGACATGGCAGGGTCCTGCTCAGTTACACTGGGTTTTTACTTAGTCCAAAGTGGAACTTTCTCTTGTTATCAAATCCATGATAAGAAGAAATGGGACTGTGGCTTCACAGTCAGCTTCAGTTGAAACTGTCTAATCTCAAATCAGAACAAAGTACCAAATGAGTACTGGCATAGAGAACAAGGCCTTAATGGGAATGTTAAACCTCAACATAAATCCTGAACAATGCCTTGAGAGCTTCAGATGCAAAGAGAGCATGAGCTCAGATGCAGGAGAAAGAAATACCTTCAAACTCCAGGGTCAGTGAGAAAAGCAGTGAGCCTGTGGGGTCAACTGTGGCTATGGCACCTGTTGACTCACCATCTCCACAGCCTTCAGGGGTCTTCTCTGGTTCTTATACGGGCCACCAAAATGTTGGCCTAAAATAAATAAACTGCCAGATATTTCTCCAGCAAAGATGGGCTTATTCAGGATTAGCAGAGAATTGCAATTTGAGATTGGCAACCACGGCAAGCCATGTGCATCTCCCCACACAGCAAGGGAAGGAGAATGCTTTTACAGAGGGAGGAAAGAAGTTGGGAGTGCTGTAGTAAACAAAGAGTCCATGGCTTTGTATTTAATTTTTGCCAGTTTGAGTAATATGTGTCTTGGCGTGTTTCTCCTTGGGTTTATCCTGTATGGGACTCTCTGTGCTTCCTGGACTTGATTAACTGTTTCCTTTCCCATATTAGGGAAGTTTTCAACTATAATCTCTTCAAATATTTTCTCAGTCCCTTTCTTTTTCTCTTCTTCTTCTGGAACCCCTATAATTCGAATGTTGGTGCGTTTAATGTTGTCCCAGAGGTCTCTGAGACTGTCCTCAGTTGTTTTCATACTTTTTTCTTTATTCTCTCTGCAGTAGTTATTTCCACTATTTTATCTTCCAGGTCACTTATCCATTTTTCTGCCTCAGTTATTCTGCTATTGATCCCTTCTAGAGTATTTTTAATTTCATTTATTGTGTTGCTCATCGTTGCTTGTTTCATCTTTAGTTCTTCTAGGTCCTTGTTAAATGTTTTTTGCATTTTGTCTATTCTATTTCCAAGATTTTGGATCATCTTTACTATCATTATTCTGAATTCTTTTTCAGGTAGACTGCCTATTTCCTCTTCATTTGTTAGGTCTGGTGGGTTTTTATCTTGCTCCTTCATTTGCTGTGTGTTTTTCTGTCTTCTCATTTTGCTTATCTTACTGTGTTTGGGGTCTCCTTTTTTCAGGCTGCAGGTTCGTAGTTCCCATTGTTTTTGGTGTCTGTCCCCAGTGGCTAAAGTTGGTTCAGTGGGTTGTGTAGGCTTCCTGGTGGAGGGGACTAGTGCCTTGTTCTGCTGGATGAGGCTGGATCTTGTCTTTCTGGTGGGCAGGTCCACGTCTGGTGGTGTGTTTTGGGGTGTCTGTGGACTTATTATGATTTTAGGCAGCCTTTCTGCTAATGGGTGGGGTTGTGTTCCTGTCTTGCTAGTTGTTTGGCATAGGGTGTCCAGCACTGTAGCTTGCTGGTCGTTGAGTGAAGCTGGGTGTTGGTGTTGAGATGGAGATCTCTGGGAGATATTTACCGTTTGGTATTACATGGAGCTTGGAGGTCTCTTGTGGACCAGTGTCCTGAAGTTGGCTCTCCCACCTCAGAGGCACAGCACTGACTCCTGGCTGCAGCACCAAGAGCCTTTCATCCACACGGCTCAGAATAAAAGGGAGAAAAAGTAGAAAGAAAGAAAGAGGATAAAATAAAATAAAGTAAGGTAAAATTAAAAAAAAGTTATTAAAATAAAAAAATAATTATTAAGAAAAAAAATTTTTTTTAAGAAAAAAAAAAAGGACGGATAGAGCCCTCGGACAAATGGTGAAAGCAAAGCTATACAGACAAAATCTCACACACAAGCATACACATACACACTCACAAAAAGAGGAAAAGGGGAAAAAAATAATAAATCTTGCTCCCAAAGTCCACCTCCTCAATTTGGGATGATTCATTGTCTATTCAAGTATTCCACAGATGCAGGGTACATCAAGTTGATGGTGGAGATTTAATCCGCTGCTCCTGAGGCTGCTGGGAGAGATTTCCCTTTCTATTCTTTGTTCGCACAGCTCCCGGGGTTCAGCTTTGGTTTTGGCTCTGCCTGTGCATGTAGGTCACTGGAGGGCGTCTGTTCTTCGCTCAGACAGGACGGGGTTAAAGGAGTCGCTGATTCGGGGGCTCTGGCTCACTCAGGCCGGGGGGAGGGAGGGGTACGGAGTGCGGGGTGAGCCTGCGGCTGCAGAGGCCGGCATGATGTTGCACCAGCCTGAGGCGCGCCGTGCATTCTCCCAGGGAAGTTGTCCCTGGATCCCGGGACCCTGGCAGTGGCTGGCTGCACAGGCTCCCCGGAAGGGAGGTGTGGAGAGTGACCTGTGCTTGCACACAGGCTTCTTGGTGGCGGCAGCAGCAGCCTTAGCGTCTCATGCCCGTCTCTGGGGTCCGCCTCTGGAGTCCGCGCTGTTAGCCCCGGCTCGCGCCCGTCTCTGGAGCTCCTTTAAGCAGCGCTCTTAATCCCCTCTCCTCGCGCACCAGGAAACAAAGAGGGAAGAAAAAGTCTCTTGCCTCTTCGGCAGGTCCAGACTTTTTCCCGGACTCCCTCTTGGCTAGCTGTGGCGCACTAACCCCCTGCAGGCTGTGTTCACTCCGCTGACCCCAGTCCTCTCCCTGGGCTCCGACCGAAGCCCGAGCCTCAGATCCCAGGCCCACCCGCCCCGGCGGGTGAGCAGCCAAGCCTCTCGGGCTGGTGAGTGCTGGTCAGCACCGATCCTCTGTGCGGGAATCTCTCCGCTTTGCCCTCTGCACCCCTGTTGCTGAGCTGTCCTCCATGGCTCCGAAGCTTACCCCCTCCGCCACCCGCAGTCTCTGCCCGAGAAGGGGCTTTTAGTGTGTGGAAACCTTTCCTCCTTCCCAGCTCCCTCCCACTGGTGCAGGTCCCGTCCCTATTCTTTTGTCTCTGTTTTTTCTTTTTTTTTCTTTTGCCCTACCCAGGTACGTGGGGGAGTTTCTTGCCTTTTGGGAGGTCTGAGGTCTTCTGCCAGCGTTCAGTAGGTGTTCTGTAGGAGTTGTTCCACGTGTAGATGTATTTCTGATGTATCTGTGGGGAGGAAGGTGATCTCTGCGTCTTACTCTTCTGCCATCTTCCCCCTCTCTCCCATGGCTCCAAATTATATTCATTTATTATATTTCTTTATAGCTACCATGTGCTAGATACTATTCTGGGCCCTGGTAATAAAATGATGAACAAACAAATGTGATCCCTAGTTCCATGGAGCTTATAGTCTAATTAGAGAGACTGAAGATTAAATATACAACTGCAATCAGCCACTCCACTAGTTCAGTGTGGGCACTGACTTCGGTAAGTCAGGAAATGAAGCTCTAAACCCCTGTAGTCCAGGAGGTGATATGTTGCCAATACAAAAATCCACAGTTTCCTATCTCCTTGCCTTGTAATTCACACTAGGTGATCACATGGGGCCCCACTACATCATAGGCTACAGTTGGTGTCCTCCGGCTAGAAGAGATCTCATCCAGAAGTCTCCTGATGCTTTTCCATAATGAAGCCTGTGTTTCCTTGAATGGCTTCCTCCTTCCACTTCCCTTTTCTGTATCTTCTGCCTCAGAACTAAAACCCAGTAACAAACCCAGGAAGAGCCATTTAGAGAGATGCTAGTTCTGCATTTTTTCTTTTTGCTTTAAATATTCAAGTTCAGTCATGCCTTGTGCTCATAGTCATCCCTTTCCACCCCACCAGGATGCATGAGTCATGAACCTGCTCTACGTAAATTACAACAGAGCAGACAACATGGGATCAACTTCTAGCCTGTATGTTAAGACCTTGTCTGGAAGAAATCCAATTTCTAGCTTGTAATCCACCTCTCTTCCTCCTAAACTAGTTCTTTGGTGGAACCTTTGAAACTCTAGTCCCTAATTTAGGCTCTAAGAGCTCCTCTGGACTTTATAGAAGACATAGATCCTAAGTTTAAGAGCATTATCTAAGATTTAACACCTCCCTTCTACCCAACTCTGCTAGCTTTCCCAGGCTTAGCATCATGGCCCTGGTATAGGCGCAGAGTACGGCGTAAGGCTCTCTTTACCTCTTGGTTGCGCAAGCAGTAAATGATAGGGTTGAGCAGTGGTACAATGACAGTGTAGAGTACAGGCACCAGCTTGTCGGTGTCAAAAGCTGAGATTGCCTTTGGGCGGGCATAGATGAAGATACTGACTGCATAGAAGATGACCACAACAGAGGTGAGAGGCACAGGTGGAAAAGGCTTTATGGAGCCCAGAAGCTGAGGGAATGCACATCACAGCACTGGTGATGGCCATATAGGAGGCCCTGGTGACAGAGAGTGGCCTCAGCAGTATGAAAATGGCCAGGACAAAGTCTGTAAGCTCTGCTGTGGACATGTCAGTGCATGAAAGGTTGAGCAATGGGGAGACATCACAGAAAAAGTGGTTGATGTTGTTGGGGCCACAGTACAAGAGGTGAGAAATGAGAAAAACTTTGACCATGGAGATGCCAAAACCTCCAGCCCAGGAGCCAGCTACCAGCTGCACACACAGCCGGCCACTGACAATGACAGGGTAGTGGAGAGGACGGCAGATGGCCACATAACAATCATAAGCCATAACTGCAAGGAGGACACACTCAGTGCATCCCAGGCCCAGGAAAAAGTAGAGCTGCGTCATGCAGCCCTCAAAGGAGATTAGCTGCCCATGGCCCTGTTTGGAGCCAACAAAGCCAGCTAGCATCTTGGGAATAGTGATGGTAACGTACCAAATCTCCAGGAAGGACATGTTGGCCAGAAAGAAGTACATGGGTTTGTGGAGGCTGGGGTAGTTCCTGATTGCCATAATGATGAGTGTGTTCTCAGTCAGCACCAACACATGGGCCAGCAGAAGAAGGGCAAATAATAGTGCCCGCAGTGGCACAGGAGCTGGGAAGCCCAGCAACACAGACTCACTTACTCTCCCACTCTGGTTCTTCCTCTCCATGGTGTCAGTCATGCCTGCTGCTCTTCAGAAGAGAATAGAGTGTCCTCAGGAGGCAGCAGCAGCAAGAACCCAGACTTCCTCTCGCTGGGTTTGTATTAGTAGAATGCAACGTGTGTAGTGCGTATAATTCATCGCTGAGCTGAGGCCGTTGTTCTCTTCTGTAATCTGGGAATGAGCTAAGATAAAAGTGGACAAAAATAAGCTACTTTGTATTGGGATAGGATAGGAGTGTATTCTGGCCCTTGGAGAAGTGTGTATTGATAAGCACCAGTTGGTCCCTTAAAAACACAGATCAAAACCAAAATATTAAGAGTCTGGGCTGCCCTGAAGTGAGAGTTTGTCTATGAGCTGGATTATGACTCTGTTTTGAGGAAATAAGTTACACAGTGGATGAATAACAGTAACATATAACACAATTAAGTGTTTACTATGTGTTATTAGTACAGGAACTATTCTGAAAAATTTGTAGATATTAATCCACCTAATCTTCACCCTATGAGTAAGTACTGTTATCAACCCCACTTAACACCTAAGGGAACTGATGCATATAGAGATTAAGTGACTTGTTCCAGCTCACACAGATAGTAAGAGATGGAAGCAGGAAGTCAGAACCTCAGAGCTTCTAAAATATTCAGGCAACATGAAGGAGGGACTGTAAGATACATCCTGTATTTACACCCAGAACGGAGGGTCTCTGGGGCTCAGCTAGGGATGCAATTTCCTCCTGCAAGGAAGAGGGAAAAAGTAGAACCCAAGGAGGTTATGGCACCTATAGAATGAAAGTCCTACATAACCTTGTACTTAAGAGGAGGATGTGGGACCCATGTGGAAATCATATTAAGAAGTGGATTCTGGATTTCTGAAGAACTGAGAATTCCTTCAGTTCTGAAGGTTGTGCTAACTATCTTGGAATGAGAGTAGAACACCTTCCTTTAGTATCCCTAACAGCTAAACCAAGTGACATTAAAATTTTCAATAGTTTATTTGAGCAACATCGATTTATATCGGGCAGTGCCTAACTGAAAATGGTTAGGAGCACTCCACTGTCAAAAGCTAGGGGCAGAGCTTTCATAGAGCAGAGGCTGAAGCAATGCAAGGACATTATTTGATTGGCTATAGCTTGAGTGGTTGCCTTATTTGGGAAAGCCTAGTTGGATGTTTGTGATTAGTTCTTAAATTTTGTTGTTTTGGATATAAGTGCATTTGCAATTGACTCTGGCGTAAGGTTTGGTTTGCTCATGTAGGCTACTAAAGCGTGAGAACCACTTCAGTTCAGCAGCCTCCTTGTTTAGTTACTTTGACTGTAACAAGATCAATACAAAAGCATACATTTAGTAGAGTACTCTCTTTGTTTACCTTGGTATCAAAAATATAATTTGCCCCTTCAAAACTTCAAGCCTCTACTGGATCAGATGTGGATCTGACATATCCACGTGCGAGTTGGTATGAAGAAAGGGTTATTGTCACCCTAGTGTCCCTGTATGATCATAGCATTGGACGGGGAGTATAAAGATTAGAAAGAATGGGGGAGAACCAGATGAACAACTGGGGGCTACTTTCCCTCAGGAGAGTCTTTACTTTTTAGTCTTAGGCCTGTTCCTTTGAGATTAACAGGGGCAGAATGTGCTCACACATCAAGCTTCAACTTGCTAATGATTTTTTTCCCAGCTTTATTGAGATATAATTGATATATAACATTGGAAAGTTAAGGTGTGCAATGTGATGATTTGATAGAAGTATATATTGTGAAGTCTTTACCACATTAATTAACACATCCTTTACATCACACAATTACCATTTTGTTGTTACGGTAAGAACACTAAAGCTCTACGCTCACAGCAACCTTCAGGTATACAATATAGTATTATTACCTATAGTCATCATGCTCTACATTAGATCCCCAGAACTTACCTTACAGCTCAAAGTTGGTACCCTTTGACCAACATCTGCCATTTTCCCCAGCCTTCAGCCTCTGACAACCACTATTCTACTTTCTGTTTCTACGAGTAGCCAAGACGTGGAAACAACTTAACTGTCCATCAATCAATGAAAGGATAAAGAAAATATATACATATACAATGCATTGTTATTTAGCCATAAAAAAGAAGGAAATTCCGCCATTTGTGACAAGATGGTTGGATCTTGAGGGCATTATGTTAAGTAAAATAAGCCAGAGAGAGAAAGGCAAATACTGTGTGTCTCAGTTATATATGGAATCTGAAAACATCAAAACTGCAGATGACTTTATACCTGAGTTCCTCTTCTCTTTATGCTCTGTGAGCAAAACTTGAGCATTACCCAGTACTTGAGACCTTGGCATTCCTCTCAGTACTAGAGTACTTTAATGCAATTACAAAATGCCATATCCCTGGCTTACATTTCCCATCACTCCCAACCTTACTTTCCACACCCACCATTTATTTATTTCAAAAGTATTGCTGGATCAAATATGGCCCAGACCACAGACTAAGAGTTGTGGTACAGAAAAAGGTAAATAACACATGTACTAAGTCTTCACGGAGCTCATAGTCTGGTGGTAGAGACATATCTTTGTCTTCTCATCCCTGAAAGTTTAATCTGCCACACCTATTCTTACACCATATACTAGCTTCATATGGGAACCTCTAAACTACAATTGTTATTCATAACCTTAGCTTTGATCCTTTATCCTCAATACCTGCCTCATATGCCATTAACTGTTTATTTGACCTTGTTGGCCTCAGACCTTTCTGCTTATCTGTTAATCTTCTCTGTCTCTGCCTTCACATTTGATGTTCTACACACTTGAAAAAAAAACTAGCCTCCTAATTGGTCTCACTGCCTGTAGTATCTCCCCTAATGCTCAAATCTGAGCATTTCACTACCCTACTTAAAACCTTCCATAGTACCACATTGTCTACACAACCATGTTCAAGCTATTTAACAAGGCATAAGTACTTCATGACCTGCTACTGCTGTCATCAAAACCTTACCTCTTGTCACGACCTACATTGTATCTTACACCCTGCAGCTCTTGACATACAGCATGTTTATCACCTAACTCCTCCTTAACCTTCAAATCTTGACTCATGTGGCATCTCCTCATAGAACCATTAGTTGTCCTTTCTTTCTTTTCCTTTTCACTGATTTGGTAATGGGTTCCTCCCATTACTGTTCCCATGAGAGCTCGTGAAAGCCCATATATCATTTACTAGCTGTATCACTGCTGCTACTGCTCAGGTAGATATAAAAGAGGTACTATATGCCAAAGTGGCCACATACATCCTTAATGGTATAGCAAAGAGTGGATATAATTCCCTTGATGCCACATGGGTCCCTCAAATACAATATGTCTCGAAAAAATTGTCTAAGCCTGTTCTTCCTCTATCACAATGAATGGTACTAGTTTCTCTGCAGTATATACTGTACTGGAGATCCAGAATTTCCCTATATCTTCTATACCTATCCTCCCCACCCCAACCCCACATCCCACTCACAACTAATCCAGGTTTTATCTAAACTTCCTCTTTAATTATCTCCTAAATTTGTCCCCTTTCTCCTGTCCTATTTCTGCTGCATTCCCCCTAGTCCTTTATACCAGTCACGTCCTTGTTATTTCTTGACTTTATTTCAATAGGCTATTGCCTGGTCTTTTTCCCCCAACCTCAACTTCTTTCAATCTAATTTCCACTTGTTTCTTGAGTGAAATTTTATGTAGAAATTTGACTCCAAGAGCATTTGATTTTGGGGAGCACATACAAAATCCCTCAATAATGTGTCAAATGTGTATTTCCTTTTAACTGTCCTACAGTAATCCAGTCATTGCCTACTATTTTCCTTTTTCTAAATATGTTGTGATATTCTCTAACTCTATGATTTGCACATACTCTTCCTTCTGTCAAAACTACACCTAGGAATTATTTATCTTTCACATTTCAATTTCTTGGTTATCACCTTCCAAAACTACCCATATTTCTACCGATATAGATTATTTACTGGTATTTCCATCTCTTCTTTTGACAATAGTTCTTATTTTAGGGTCTGCTTTAGCAACTAAATAGTAAACGTGTTATAATGGTTGCATAGATGCATGGATGGAGGGGAAAATTGAGAAAGGAATGATATGGGCAGACTAGATGAATTGCAAATGATAGGAATCAAATATAAAGAGAGCAAAATGTAAAAAGGAGTTGGGTGGAAATGATCAAGAGTAGAGAACTTAAATCAGTTACCAGAAAATCTGACAGAATTGGAATAATATGTAAGGAAAACAGACATTGAATATAGAAGAATTGGCAGACCCACAGAGACAAGATAAAATGTAAGGAAGTTAGAGTAAGAGCAAAGAAATTGGAACTTCTGTTGATAAAATGGATGATATTTGGGTAAAATAAATGTGCTATATTGACAAGAGATTCAATGAGAGAAGATAAGTATAATACAGAAAGGATATAATTAGGAATGGGAGATCATAAAAGCTGTAGGGAGGCTAGGCAGAGCATGAATGAATACAGAAACAAGCTATGAGTGGAAGAGATAAAGAAAGTCATATTGGTCTAAGTATCAGAATGGACCAGACATGAGAAATGCTGATAAGGGTTTGGGTTTTATTAGGTGTAGAGGGGACTAGGAAGATGAGTGTATTGGACAGAAAGAAAACATGGGAGACTTGACCGTTGAAGAGGAATGAAGCAGATAACAGAATCCACTTACTTTATTCAGATGTCTTTGACTCCGGGTCCTCCCAAGATGACCAGTTGGTGAGGAAAAGACTTAGAGAGTGTATATGAAAGAAAGTTGAAGCATCAAGACAAAGAAAGATGCTGCAGAGACTCCACCTTCTCTTCCTCCCATGATCAGAGAACACTGCCACACCAGGAAAGTTTCTTTTATCTTGTACCTCCCCTCTGTAGTCCCCATTTTGCCCTCCTCCTTCTGATGTTTTAGAATGATTCTAAATCCAGAGCCCAAGAGACCACTAGAGATACAAGAAAAAAAAAAGACTGGGGAAGAAGACAGGAAAAGGTGTGTTTGGGAAGTAGGAAATAGAAGTTTACATGAAGCAGAGGGTGTCTACCCCTACTACCTCGTAGCTTCTTCCCTTGCCTTCTCCTTCCCTCTTTCCATCCTGCCACATTCATGCTCAAAAGAAAGCCTTTGACTTTAGGCCAGGCCAATCTGGGCTTATATTCTGGCTCAATTTTGTAATCTTAAGCAAGTTACTTACGTTTTTTGAGCCTTAGATTCCTAACCTGTAAAATGGAAATAATATACCTCACAAAGTTGTTGAGAGGAATAAATGAAGTGATATGTATCCAGTGCTTGGAACATGATAGGGTCTCAACAGTGCTACCCAGTTTCTTCCTTTATCTCCTGAATCCATGTGGGTAACATCCCTTTAATTACATGATGTCATAGAAGAAGCACTGAATTGAAAGTTTCTGGGGTTTAGTTCCACGTTTGTAATTGATATTCTGTTTAATCAAGGATTTTGTTATATATCAGTTTATTTTCCATAAAATGATAATAACATATACTACAGATGTTTTGAGGATTAAATAAAACAAAATTTGTGAAAAGGTTTGGCACAATCTCAGTCCCTAGTAAGCAGTGTATGTAGAGGTTAATAACGTGGGCTCCACCGAATGTAAATTGATACAGCCACTATGGAGAACAGTATGGAGGTTCCTTAAAAAACTAAAAATAGAATTACCATATGACCCAGCAATCCCACTACTGGGCATATACCCTGAGAAAACCATAATTCAAAAAGACACATGCACCCCAATGTTCATTGCAACACTATTTACAATAGCCAGGTCGTGGAAGCAACTGAAATGTCCATCGACAGATGAGTGGATAAAGAAGATGTGGTACATATATACAATGGAATATTACTCAGCCATAAAGAGGAACGAAATTGGGTCATTTGTAGACACACAGATGGACCGAGACTGTCATACAGAATGAAGTTAAGTCAGAAAGAGAAAAATATCACGTATTAACTCATACATGGAATCTAGAAAAATGGTACAGATGAACTGGTTTGCAAGGCAGAAATAGAGACACAGATGTAGAGAACAAACGTGTGGACACCAAGTGGGGGAAAGTGGGGGTGGGATGAATTGGGAGATTGGGATTAACATATACACACTAATATTACACTAATATGTATAGAATAGATAACAAATGAGAACCTGCTGTATAGCACAGGGAACTCCACTGTACAGTAGAAACTAACACAACATTGTAAAACAACTATACCCCAATAAAAAAAACATTAAAAAAATTGTGTACATATTTAATTGACAGAAGTAAACAATTAAAAAGAAAAAGCTCTATAATAACCCTCAAATATATAATTGAAAGTGAAAAAACACTACTCTGAAAATTAATAGAGACAACATTTACACGAATGCTGAAATTATAATAGCTTCACAAGTGTGTGTGCATGTGTGTGTAGCACAGGCTGGGCTTCCTGTGTTGGGAGACGGCAGTCCCCAGTCATCTCCCATTTCTGCACATCTTCTAAAAGTTTTTGTTCTGAACTAACTATTCCAGGATGTTTAAACAACCCGATTAAAAAATGGGCAGGGCATCCCCGGTGGCGCAGTGGTTGGGAGTCCGCCTGCTGATGCAGGGCGCACGGGTTCGTGCCCCGGTCCGAGAGGATCCCGCATGCCGTGGAGCGGCTAGGCCCATGGGCCATGGCCGCTGGGCCTGCGCGTACGGAGCCTGTGCTCCGCAACGGGAAAGGCCGCAACAGTGAGAGGTCCGCGTACCGCAAAAAAAAAAAAAAAAAAAAAAATTGGGCAGAAGAACTGAATAGACACTTCTCCAAAGAAAAAAATGTAGATGGCCAACAGGCACATGAAAAGATGCTCAACATCGTTAATCATCAGGGAAATGAAAACCAAAACCACAGTGAGATATCATCTCACACCTTTCAGAATGGCTATCATCAAAAAGAATGCAAATACACATGTTGGCAA